ACTGTCGACCGGTGGCCGAGTGTACGGCCCGTCGGTGTCTCTTCAGCGCCCGTATTGTGTCAAACCATTGGTCGCAGTCTTTGTCAATACAATCGTATTGTTTGACCGGCGATGCGATCGACGAGTGGACGCACTGTTGGCCGGCGTTTGAGAGAACGCTCAGTCGATGTCTCTTAAGTCGGCGTTTAGTGTCATAGCTATGACCACAGCCTTCGTGTGGGCACTCGTATAGAGATGTGTTGACCTTCAGCAGCACTGGACGGTCAGTCGGAGTGGCCATTGGCTGGGGTTGACTGTCGTTATGTGCAGTCATCAACTCTACTTTGGCATCGGTTGAGTTGCCGATCAGTTCCCGAGGAATGTTGTCTTCAACGCCATGTCTGCGGCGTTTGTGTCCATCCAATCGGCTTTGAGTGCCGAAAGTTTTATTGCATTCACTGTAATCGCATATCAATGACTTCTTTGACCGGAATTGTCGGCCAAAGGACTCGAGGATTGACTCATAAGTCAACGATTGGCTGAAAAGACACAACAGTTGTGACAATTGAACGCATGGTTTGTGACAATCCATACAAACCTATCACTCGATGACATCCAGAAGAATGTGAAGACAACACTCACGAAGACATCACTTTTAAGAATTTTTAATTGTATGACTTCTCGAAGACAATTAATGATTGAGTGAGAGTTGTGTTCACTATTTATATTATATTTAAAACTAATGAGTTATGAGTTGTTTTAAACATATCCTTTAGTCTCTGTCTTATCAATGATTTTGAATACTTTACTTAAATTTGCAAAAATCTTATCAATAATTTCTGCATAAAAAACCATTTGATTGCAAAACACTAGTATTAAATTAAATATAATATAATAGTAAATTGTGTGTAAAAGTTAACTATAGATTATTACAAAACACACATGATATGAAAAGTCTAATTAGTGCGAATTGTAGTAATTTCTAATCTAGATCTTACTAAATACACAATTATTAATACATTTTTGCATTGAGTTATTGATATAATAAAAAGTCAATTATAAAAATACTTAACATTTGGTGCTTTCTTAACAAATTATTGAACAAATTGTATACGGATTTTGATAACAAAAAGTGGTTTATTTTAATCATTTAAATACAAATAATAGTGAATTTTAATTTTTATGTCAAATGATTGCAATTATTAACCGAATTTGTGTGCAAAAAGTGAGGAATTATTAATTTTCAATTATTGTTTGTTTCATAAAGATATTGTTTACAATGCTTTAACATGCAAATTAAACATTACTTGTTTCCACGTAAACGTTTAAATCAAGTCTAAAGTAGTTATAAATTCATTAATAAATAGTTTTTGTTAATATTTGACAATAAAATGCAAACCCAAACAACACGTGACACAAAAGTTTTGTTTTTAAAAACCTTTAACTTTACAACAATTAAGAACTCATTATAATTAGTATAAATTAAGTCCCCTTTCAATACAAATCAATAGAAATATAGTCATACATTAATAAACGTTATTTAATATACAGTTTACTAACGCTATAATGCACACAACACGTAATTATACATTGACCTTGATGTTTGCATTGGTTGTAAAACATATTGAATTTTACATAATATTCATGTTTTGTCGAATTAATTATTTCTAATTATAATTTTATTAAATATAAATTATATTTTCATTGAATTTAACATTCATTAATAGTAATTGAAATAAAAATTAATGAAAACTTTGCCGAAATGTAACTCAAAATGAGATCTAATTATAACTGAATTCCGGGAAAAATAATCGGTTTATAAAATGTTTGTCCAAAGAGTTTGTGCTTTGGTTTGAGAGACAA